CACCATCTTATTCCCGGATTATTGCAAATCCTCTCTGCTTCCACTATACAATTTTTTTTCAGTACAGAATGATTCTTTAAAGATATAAGCCAGACTGTGTCACTTTTATAGTCAAAACTCTCCAGTGGTTCCACCTCTTACTCAGAATAAAAGTCAAAGTCTTTACAGAGGCCTACAAAGCTCTACCTAAAGTAGCCCTGTAACTTCATAGGTTTCATCTTCCCATTACTCTTACTCCACTCCAGTCACAGTGGCTGCCTTACTATTCCTTGAATACATGAGGTTTGTTCCTGTTGCAGGGTCTTGGCACTTGCTGTTCCATCTGCCTGGAATGTTCTCTCTCTTCCTCCCCGCCCCTCCCCCCCCTTCTTCCCCGCCCCCCCCCCCCCAGATATCCTTATGGCTCACTCCCTCACCTCCTATAGGTACTTATGTATAGTAGTCCTCCCTTAGCCACATGAGACATGTTCCAAGATCCCCAATGGATGCCTGAAACCACAGCCAGTACCAAATCCTTTTTTAATACTGTTTTCCCCCTATACATAGTATATACTTATGATAAAGTTTAATTTGTAAATTACGCACAGTAAGAGATTAACAACAATAAGTAATAATAAAATAGAACATATAACAATATACTTTAATAAAAGTTCTGTGAATGTGGTCTCTCTCTGTTCATGTTTTCCAACCACAAATTGAATGGCTTCTCCATCTTAATTAAGCATTTGCCATGCACTGTGGCCATAACTTTTGCAGTTTGAGATACGACAGCAAAATGAGCACAAATTTCTTTTTCCTTCTTCACAATTTAATGGATAAAACGTTTGTTCTTACCATAGATCTTAGCAACCTCAGCATGTTTTTTCCCCTTTCCTTATTAACTTGAGAACTTTCACCTTTTCACTCAAAGGAAGTAAGTACTTTACAACTTCTTTTTGGCATATGTGAGTTGCCAGCATCGCTACTCCTGGGCTTTGGGGCCATTATTAAGTAATATAAGGGTTACTTGAACACAAACACTGAGGTCTTGACAGTCAGTCTGATAAATGAGAAGGCTTCTAAGTGACCAATGGTGAGGAGTGTCTGTAGCATGGATATGCTGGACAAAAAGATGATTCATGTCCCAGGTGGGAAGGAGAGGCAGAGCATGAGATTTCATCACACTACTCATAACAGCACACAATTTAAAAATTGCGACTTATTTAGGTAATTTTCCATTTAATATTTTCAGACAATGGTTGACCACAGATAACAGAAACTTTTGACAGAAAACCAGGGATAAAGGGAACTACTGTACTCAAATGTTATCTTTTTAGTTAGGCTTTCTCTGACCACCCAACTTGAAATAAAAACACTTCTGCCCCATATTCTTTTTTATTTGTTACCAATCCTCACCCAAGGATATTTTTTTCCATTGACTTTTAGTGAGAGTGGAAGGGTTGGAAGAGTGGGGAAGAGAGAGAGAGAGATCCATGTGAGAGAGACACATCAATTGATTGCATCTCGCATGTGCCCTGACTGGGGTCGGGGATCAAACCTGCAAGCCAGGTACATGCCCTTGACCAGGAATTGAACCCTTGGCTCTTCAGTGCACAGGCCCATGCAACACCAACCAGGGCCTGCCCCATATTCTTAATCTCCCTTACCCTGCTTTATTTTATCCTTAGAACTTATCACCATCTGAAGTTCTGTACATTTTACTTGTCTCTCTCCAGTACAACTTAAGCTCTATGAGGGTAGATATTTTTATCTGGTTTATTCATGTCTGTGTTACAGACACCAGAACAATGCCTGGCACGGGTAGGTGCTCAGGAAATATTTATTGAACAAATAAGTGAACCCACAAATGGGTTACTTTGTGTGTTTTTTCCCCTCTAGCTTTATTGAGGTGTAATTGACAAATAAAATTATTAATCCTCACCCAATGATTTTTTTTCATTGATTTTTTAAAAAAATGCGTTTTTATTTAGAGAGAGAGAAAGAGAGAGGGAGAGCTAGAAACATTGATGAGATAGAAACATGAACATTGATTGGCTGCCTCCTGCACGCCCCCTACTGAGTATTGAGCCTGCAACCCTGGGCATGTGCCCTCATCAGGAATTGAACAGGGCACCTCTTGGTGCATGGGTCTATGTTCAACCACTGAGCCACACTGGTGAGGCTTTTCCATTGATTTTTAGAGAGAGAAAAACATTAATATGAGAGAGACACATATATTGGCTGCCTCCCACATGTGCCCCAACTGGGGCCAGGGATGAAAGCCACACTGGTGAGGCTTTTCCATTGATTTTTAGAGAGATAGAAACATTAATATGAGAGAGACACATATATTGGCTGCCTCCCACATGTGCCCCAACTGGGGCCAAGGATGGAACCTGCAATCCAGGTAAGTTCCCTTGACCGGGAATCGAACCTGAGACTGTTTGGTGTGCGGGTCAATGCTCTAACCACTGAGACACTGGCCAGGGCTAAAATGGTATATATTTAAAGTGTATAATGTGATGGTTTGATAAATAAATGAATGACTGATCGGTTTATTTTGAAAACTAGTTGGGACTTAAACCATTTCTTTCTTTTTTTTTAGATTCTTTATTGTTTAAAGTATTACATAGAGTATTACATATGTCTCCTTTTTCTCCCATTGACCTCTCTCTGGCCACCCCACCCCCCAGCACATGCCCTCAGCCTTCCTAGTGTCTGTGTCCATTGGTAATGCTTATATGCATGCATATAAGTCCTTTGCTTGATCTCTTACGCCCCCCCCCCTTCCCCCAGCCACTTCTTATTGCTTGACTAGATTCAACCATTAGGTTTCAAAATAGTTTGTCTAATTTCAGCTGCAGTGTGATCTTGCATAAATAAATTTTAAAAAGATATTCTTGCCCTGGCTGGTGTGGCTCAGTTGGTTGGAGCATTGTCCTATGCACAGAAGGGTTCCATTCCCAGTCAGGGCACATGCCTAGGTTGGGGGTTTGATCCCTAGTCAGGGCATGTATGGGAGGCAGCTGATTGATGTTTCTCACATTGATGTTTCTTTCTCTCTTCTTCCCTTCCTCCCTTCCCCTCTCTGCAGAATCAGTAAAACATGTCCTTTTGTGAGGATTAAAAATAATAATAATAATAATAATTTAAAAAGATAATCTCACTAGAAACTTTATCTTTTTTAAGGTATTTAAAAGTGAGTCAGACTGTTGGAGTTTGAATGCTGGACATTTGTGTGAATCTGGACAAGTTAACCATTCTGTGCCTCAGTTTCATCATCCATAAAACAGGCATACTAGAAGCACCTATCCCATGATGTTTTTTTTTGGGATCATAAAAATAATAGTGTATGTAAATCACCTACCCCAGTACCTGGCACATAGTAAAGCTTCAGTGAATAACGGCTTTTATTACTGTTATTAAGATGTAAGAGAAAAATCTCAAAAAATACAGGAAGACTTGCAACAGAAACAACTGAATACATTTTTCTAAGTGAAACTAAAATAGTTGTCCAGCTCTTTTGTATAAGTGGCAGTTCTTTGGGAAATGAGCCAAAACTTGAAGGCCAATTGTTTTGTCCCTTTCCTTAGGAGGGTTTCCTGGGTCTGGACACATTCTCTTCATATTCTCTATATCCTCACAGAATAGTCACACTTGGAATCCCTCATACTTAATATCTCCACTGGTCACATTCTTCACATTAATGCCATTTCAGACCCAGAGGTTCAGATTCCGTGGATGATCTTCACTCAGGAAACTGCTTAAAAATTCAGCAGTTCCCTTTGTGGGAAAGATGCTTGCTGAGTGCTGGCAGATTAGCTTTCTAAATGTGTTGACTTGCAAACAAGGTTGTCCATGCTTTAAAAGGCAAGGACAATGGTCTCTATTTCGGTGTCATGACACCTCCTTGCAGCTCACTGTCAGACACATCTTGTGTTAATGCCTTGTTAAACAAAGTTATCACAGATCCAGTCTATGAATGCTGACATGTGTCGGGTTATTTGACTAGTGCAGGGAAAGGGGGAAGCCCAACCCTGCACAGGAGCATTTGGCTCCCCATTTCACAGAAGTAGCCAATGAAGTGCAGCCTCTCCCATTCTGCACTTGACTCAACATCATTTCACACTTGCTTCCCAGGGTCCACTTCTTATGTTCTAACTTGCCACTTACCTCCCACAGTTGGGCTGGGCTGGGCTAGGCTGGGCACACATTCATTTATTCATTCATTAAACCCCACCGGGATCAAGAAATACACACTGCTTCTTTGCTGCTTTCAAACACTTTTCTAGTTTAGTTATTTAAATAAAATGTTATCTTGTTGTCTGAGCTATGCTGTAAATTTCTTGAGTACATGGACTTCTACATTATTCCTGTTTCCTGCAGTGCCACCCTTGATTCTTCATTTTGTCTATGTTTTTATTATTATGCTCTGCAAAACTGCTCTGGAGAAATGGGCCCAAAACCTAGGAACTGGGTTAAATTTCCTCCCTGACTTATTTTTTACTAGAGGTCTGGTGCACAAAATTCATGCATGGGTAGGGTCCCTAGGCCTGGCTGGTGAACAGGACTGATCAGGGCCTTCTGGCTGCTGGCCAGGGCCTTCCTTCATTCCACACAGCCCCCTGGTGGTCAGCACACATCATAGCGAGCGATAGAACTCCCTGTCTCCTGGTTGAACTCCCACAGGGACACTTTGCATATTAGCCTTTTATATATATAGATTGTGTTTGTTAGGAGAAACTAGCATGTAACAACCAGCAAGCACTAAACCATTTTCCTATTACAGTGGGGCTTTGACTTACGAGTTTAATTTGTTCCAAGACCGAGCTCGTTAAGGAGCTCGTTAAGGAGCTCGTGAACTCAAATTACTCTATCAACTCAATGCAAAAAATTGGCCGAGAGACAGCTGGTATCTCAAAAAACTTGTTAGTCGGGACACTTGTAAGTCAAGGCCCCACTGTATAATATGACTTCAAATAAAAACCTGACAAAGCCTATGCTGAAAATTAGAAACTTACTCATAAACGGTTGTCCATCCATTTTCATTACTTTTGGTAGCCAGAAGCCCAGTGTTTCCTGGATAGGTCATCAAGGCCAGGTTATAGCCTTGGGCTGATACTCTTTTCAGAACTCCATTACTGCTTATGGTCAGCCAGTACACCTGCCCGCCAGGCACTACAAGCCAAAGGGGCATTCCGCCTGCATCCCTGCGAATATGCACAGAGTTGCCATTGCTACTGGTAATGGCGCCCAAGTCACCTTCAGCATTGTAGGTGAAATTATACACATAGTCCCTTGTTATCAAGTTCAAGGTGTGCAGGTGGGTTCCATTGACGGTGAACTGGTAGAGTTCCTGATCAGCAGGTGAAGCAATCTCATAAAGGTTCATGTCATTCAGGTGGGCTTGGTTCCTACTAATGGTTCGAATTCGAACGTTCCCAAGGTCAGCCACATAGAGGGTGCCATCAGGAGACACTGCTAAAGAGGAAGGGGCTTTCATCTTTGCATCTTTGGCATAGCCACCATCACCTGTGGGAGAAAGACCCTGATTTTAATAATTGTCATCATAAACATTTATATGAAAAAACAGTATACAGAAATCACTGTGCATCAAGAATCATCTGAAAGGGAACAATCAGTTAGCCAGCATTCTCTGCATGTCCTCCTTGACAAATTTGAAACCCATTATTCAAAATTTTTGAGTCAGTACCATTGAAGATAAACAGTAAGATGCAATTATCTCAGTAATACCAATTTTGTGAAATCCTCAATCCTGCTGTTCAGAATCTATTGTACTGCAAGATACAAAAAACAGCAAATAATAACAGCCAACAAAATTTGGCTGGAAATCCATGAGACTTAATGTCTGTCAACACTTGTAGGATCTATCTCAGACCTTTCCAATCCTACTGTGCCTAGAGGACCTTTCTTCAGCTAATTCCCATTGTCACATTTGTCAAAGTACACTAAGTGTGTAAGTGAAACAATGATTCAGAACATCAACTTTGATAACTAGAATAGATATTAGATTTGTCTTGAATGAAAAATATAAATTAGCAAAATAACTATAAAACTGTCCAGAAAAACATTGGAAATATTGATCAAAAGTCATATCGACCAAGTTGCTCTAGAGTTCTCTGGCCCAAGTAAAAGCAAAGGTTAAAAGAGAACCATTTGAGCCTGGATGAACAGTTTATTAGGGCTGCAAGCAGCATGGAGGGATTTTCATATCCCAGCAACAAATGTATCTATTGACATTTTGAGGACTGTTTGCTATCTGGAATATCCATTCCATGTTATGGGGGAAAAGGCTCTTTTTTGCCTTTTATTCTCCCCCCCCCCCCCGCCCCATTTCAACTGAAAGTAAAGGGCACTGATGATTATGATAAAGTTTTGGATTTAACAAACATTAACAATGGAAGTAGCAGATTAATGTCTTGAGATCCCCCCATTGTCGTTAAGTTTTGATTCCACCCATGTGTCTCCAAAGCAGTCTGTTCCTAGTCCCTTTGGGTTTCAAATAGCACATGCTGTCAATCTGGAAAACAGTTACTTAGGGGAAGTAATATTTTTCCTGAGCTAAGTTACTAAATGTAGGTTTTACCTAGTTTCTCTTTCTCCAAAGTACAAATATCATTATGGTCCTACACTTGTATAATGGTTTTAACTTCTTAGAGTTATCAGGATTTGTATTTATATTAGTCTATCCTCAAACCAGGAAGGTGATATAATTGAGACAAGTGACACCGCTATTTAACAGATGAAGTAAGCAAGTAGTAAAAAGATTTTGTGGCTTTCTTGGGGCCACTCAGTGTGTCAACTGCAGAACAATCAGATAGTAGGCTATCTGACCCCCAACACACTGCTTTTTCCACTAGCTCATATTAACGTTCACAAGCAACACTTTGGTTTTCCTTTGGACTTTTCTGATGCATGTTTTTCTTTTGAAAACAGAGAGGGGGAGCTGGTGAATTGCTAAAAAGGTCATACCTGAAAAACAGTCACAGTTGGGATCAATTTTGCAATCACAGTCAGTGGGGGCACCAGCCATGATGGAGATCTCCCCATTGGTGGTAACTTGCTGAATGCGGTTTACTTTCCTCTCATCTGTTTCAGCTATGAAGAGCAGGCCGCTGTGGGAGACGCTGATGGCCCTCGCTGACTCCAGAGTGGAGTGAATTGCCACCTTGCTGACCAAGAAATGATCAATACCTGGCACCTGGCAGTGAATGGGGCGCCCTGCAATGATCCGCACGCGCCTGTTCTCAGAAATTTGCAGCACAATATTGTTATCTAAGACATACAATGAATTGTCCATGGGATTGACTGCAAGGTCTGTTGGCCACTCTAACCGCACCTGCAAAAAGAACAGAACACACACTATTAGGTTATAATATCTTTCCAGGGGCAGTTTTACTTTGGAAAAAAACCCAAAAAACACCTGGCTAATTGGTTGCTCTTGTCTCAAGAATTTCAGCAATGTTGGTGTTGCCTCCAAAGTTGCGGGAGGATGATTGATCCAATGTTCTGTAAACATATCTATCATTTATACCATTTCAAGCATATTATTTTTTGCAATAATTCCAGAAGGGTCCTCTAGAGCAATGATTTTTAACCTTTTTCATCTTATGGCACACATAAACTAATTACTAAAATTCTGCAGCACACCAAAAATACATTATATATTTTGCCAATCTGACAAAAAATAGGTATAATTTTGATTGATTTACAAAAAATATAATAGTAATTACCCTTTTTGCTCCAAAGTGGCTTTTAAAAAAATCAGGTGCCTATACTTGGATATAAGGATTTCTGGTACCAAGAATTAACCAATCAGACACAACCTTATTGTGTGATGTGACCGTTATATGACCTACATATTTATGGTTCATGACAGGGCATTCACAGCAGATGGCTATTGTTGTGTTGGCTGTTATCATTTTATCATTAAACCTGTAAGGGAAAAGAGGTCAGTGCCCCTGACTAAATAGTCAGGTATTGCATGTTTAAAAAATTCTTGCGGCACATTGGTTGAAAATTGCTGCTCTAAAGCAGTGTTTTTCAAAGTGTGGTCTCTGGACCATCAGCAACAGCATCACCTAGGAACTTGTTAGAAATGTGAATTCTCAGGTTCCAACTTAGACCTATTGAATCAGAACCTCTGGGTTGGGGGCCCAGCCAGCTGTGTTTTAATAAGCCTTCCAGGTGATTGTAATGCACACAAAGGTTTGAGGACTACTGCTTTAGGATCTTTGTGTCACAATCATATGCAAATGTCTCTCACTGTCCTATAGATGCATGGAAGAGCAAAGTTATACAGACTTCTAGAAAACAGAATGCTGGAGAAACCAGATTTTACTCGAATAGTAACCTTTTGGGACAGGACCTTCCATTAGCATAGCATCCATCTTGTGGCATATTCACGTACAGCACATCAGTGATTTGGAATTCTAAGTTGACCTGGTTCACTACATATCTCCCTTTGCTCAGCAAAGAAACAGGTTTATTAGTTCTTTAATTGAATATTTCCTGAGTACCTTCTCTGTGCTAAGCTCTGTGATAGGCTTTGGGGATTCAAAATAACTATGACATTACTGTCCATGTTATGAAGGAGGAGGCAACAGAGAGAATATGAGAGCACTTCACCCAGACTAGGAGTCAGGAAGCAGGGTATTATCAGAGAAAAAAATCCCATGTGAGGACACAGTAAGAGATTGGTCTTCTGCATGCCAAGGAGAGAAGCCTCAGGAGAGACTAAACCTGTTAACAACTTAGTCTTGAACTTCTAGCCTCCAGAACTGTGAGAAAATAAATTTCTTTTGTTAAAACCACGCAGTCTGTGGTACTTTGTTAAGGAAGCCCTAGCAAACTAATACACAAGGTAATGGAGGGATATACATGTCTATCTTTATTCTGGCTGTGGGAAACCACTGAAGGGCTTTAAGTGGGAGCGTGCCATAGTCATATTTAGGTACTAGAAGGATCACACTAGCTTCTGTTGAAACTATAATGGAGGAGGAGGAGAGATGGGAAGCAGGTTGATAGTTTAGAGCAGGGGTCCTCAAACTTTTTAAACAGGGGGGCAGTTCACTGTCCCTCAGACCGTTGGAGGGCCGGACTATAGTTTTAAAAGAAACTATGAACAAATTCCTATGCACACTGCACATATCTTATTTTGAAGTAAAAAAACAAAACGGGAACAAATACAATATTTGTATTTGCATGTGGCCTGCGGGCCGTAGTTTGAGGACCCCTGGTTTAGAGGCTCCTGCAGTGGTCCAGGTGAGGGATGATACTGGCCTGAACTAGGATGGCAACAGTGGGGATGGAGAGAAGTAAATGGATTTGAGACACATTTAGGAGTTAGAAACAAGGATTAGTGTGTGTATGTGTACCTTGTGCCATGTTGTAGGCATTGGGGATCCACAGACCAACCAAACATGGCTCCACTCTAGTTCCTTTCTAGCCCAATGCCTGCCCTGACATCTCCTTGATAGCTACTATTTATCACTGGGCACTTCTCAGAGAACTGTATTACGTGCCCTCTCACCCCACCACTAACTTATTCTGTACTTTATTTTTCATCTCCTAGCCTAGACAAAGGCAGAAAAATCTGTCCCTTTCCTGTTCAAGATAGTAACAGTAATGTAGCTACTCTTCTTTGTGTTTTGAGTGAATGCCCAAGGAAAGCTTCGTTTTTCTTAGTGAATCTGAATGTTTGAAAACAAGATACAGATTGTCATTGCATTCTGAGGCACACTATTTCCCTGGATGGAAGAGGCCTTACACTCAGCAATGAAGTAGATAAAGGTTAGTCTGAGATAAGGCCCTCCCTCTATTTCTGTCTTTTAATGGAGGGCAACTGTAAAGGAGACAAAGGTTTTCTTTGACCTCCTCTGTAGCACCACTTGGGGCTCTTTGCTCCCTGTCTCCAAGTGTCTCTCCCAGACAACCAGCAACCTCATTCTGTCTCCATGTCTTTGCGTGCCCTCAACCTCCTCATAGGCTGGCCTTCTCTGGTTGGCACCATATGCCTCTGGGCAGCTAGGAATTTGAATGCTAATGGAGTATAAAGCTGAGCTTGTGTTGTGCATGTTCTACAGAGCCTTTCAGACCAAGGCCATTGGATAAGCATTAAACACCAGGTTTAACAGCTCCCAGAGCAGTTTGCCTTGATGTGTTCCTCAGCACGTCTGTCTGAGGCCTTTGCACGTCAGTGCCCTGCCACCGCGAGAGTGAGCGCCTGCTGCTGCGGAGGGCGCTGACTCCTCCTCTGACACGTGACCCCACTTGGGACCTCGATATACACCATCATGCTTGCACAGAAGCTGTCTGTGGAAATAAGCTGGGGCTGCCTGAGGAAGAGGAAATGTATTTATTTCAGTACAACACTCCTATTTTGATCGAGTGTGAAGTCAGTGACCCAGAAAAAACAAAGCCGGCAGAAATGACATTCTAATTATCCCCAGTCTGAGGGCTGAGGCCAGGACAGAGGCCCGGGACAACACACCTGGCAGGAGTCAGAGAAGGATATGTTTCAGACTCTGTTCGCTGCTGTCAAGGCTGCCTCTGAGATAAAGGCTGGTCGTTGGGAGATAAGCTGTTAAATTCTCCAACTTGCTCAACTGATTTAAGTCAATACTATTGGTGTCATGTTTATTAGATTTAATATTACCTCAAAAATGCACCAGCTATTGTGTCTGTTTTCTTTTCCATCAAATAAGTCACCCTCTGGCAGTTTCCTGTAACTAAAGTGACCTTTGTGCTTCTGAGACACTTTCTCTACCAGCTGCATAGAATCCCTGTAATTCCCATTTGATTTGGCTGGGCAGCTTGTCTATGAAATCCACTCAGATGAAAGATGTGTGGCTACTTAGTAGTCTAGGGTCTGCCTTTTCAAAAACTGGACCTTTTCACCTTTCTCAGGTTGTCAGTTCCTTTTATATCCTTCTCCTGTTAAATACTCCCATTTCCAGGTAATTTTTCAAGGAATCGGTGCTTTAGACCCACATAATAGAAACACTATATTTCCTACCAAGGCATTTCCTTAACACAAGCTAACATGGAATGGAGTCTGTGAGCTGCTGGCAGTCAGAATTAGCATCTATTAGTTGCAGAGACCCAAGATTTATATGCTACTGAGGTGGGGCTGAGAGTAACCCCTGAAGGTTGCTGGCATTTATCCAAGTAGATTCTGTGGAGAAATACACATTACTGTTTGGGCCATGGGGCCAAAAGAGATGTAGGCACAACAGTTAAGCTCTGCTAGTGACCCAGCCTACAGGCAAACCACTTGGCCTAATTTGTGGTGGTTGCCCCACCTTGTAAAAATACATTAATTTGTTTGAAATGTCAAAATGTATTTAAACTAAACTAGCATGAAAGGTCACCAGTATAGCCGCCAGCTGGTGGGCGTGCCCATCTCCCAACAACCTGCCCTAAGAAACAACTCTGAGCAGAAGGGAGCTCTCGGTTTGGAAGTCAGGCCTTGACAGCACTATGTCTTCCTTGGCTAATCGAAAATTTGCCTTAAAGGGACTTGACTCACAGGTCAGCCAGTCCCGTGGTTGCTTTAAAGATCCAGCTAATTTTGACCTAAGTAGTAGTTTATAAAGTGGCAGAATCCTAGAGGGAAAAATCCATGTGTAAAAGCGATATCTAAAGATGAGCCCTTGATTAGATTGAAGTAGAAAAATCCCTCAATTATAAACTTAACCCCACAATGGAGACATAGACCATAATTTGTACATTTGGACTCTCTCTAACAGTCTGAAGGCTGGATCCTTCCTTAACTAGTATACAGCCCTAGGCAAATGAGGTCTCCTCTAGGAGTCTCTGGTTCTCTCATCTGTAACAAGGAAAAGAGGCTAATGATAATCTAGCTAACTTCTGAGAGTTATTACTTTACAGTGGGTTGCTCTCAAGTGGGTTAAATGAGATAGTGATGTAAAGTGTTCAGCCCAGTGCCTAAGGGATGGTAAGTGGTATTAACATTAATAACGGCTTCAAAGTCATAGACCTTTAGATCCAGAAGGAATCTAGTTTAGTTAAATATACATGTTGTGCCCCCCAAAATGTATACACACTTTAAAAGCTGATAGCTCAAATTTCACTCCTTTTCAGGTTTAACTGATTTGAAATAATGGGTGAAGCGAGACTAAGCTTTGAATAAAGAAAATTTATCCACTAGACTTTTTTATGGGGATACAAAACAGATAAAGTTTACGGTACAAAATCGGCAACAGTTGACGAATTGAGGGTGTATAAATACCAAAGAAAATGATTCTTCATGTTTTCAATTCCATTCGCATTATCAGCAATGCCTGGACCAGAATGGTCATCAGTGTGAAAACAGGC